AAGACAGAGAGGGGGAGAGAAAGACAGAGAGTGGGGGGGGGGGGGGAGAGAAAGACAGAGAGAGAAAGGGAGAGAGAGAGAGAAGAGAGAGGGAGAGGAGAGAGAGAGAGAGAGAGACGAAGAGAGAGAGAGAGAGAGAGAGAGAGAGAGAGAGAGAGAGAGAGAGAGAAGAGACGAGAGAGAGAGAGAGAGAGAGAGAGAGGTGGTGGTGGGCGGGAGGATAGAAGGAGAGAGGGAGAGAGAGAGAGAAAGCTACATACCTTCATATATACATTCATAAATACATAATTTTACAGATGTGCATGCCGATACGAACATACACTTAATTTTATATTATATGATTTATATACAATGTATATTCATTTTTTTTATTTAGAGATTACTAATTCAAACTGAAGACAAATATAGAATGAGAGTTAGTGTGTCGTCGACTGCCCTTCTCCATGCAATGTTGATAATTCGGATTGATGAAATTCCAGTCTTTGCGAATCATTCCATTGCAATCCTTTTCACTACTCTGTGGATTAATGTGTTGTTTGTGGTTTTCTTTGACGAGGCTCATCTTTGCTGTGACTCTATAAAAGTCCTGTTTGAGCATATCAAAGTTGAGGTTCATTATACAAAACTAGTAACAGGAGACTAATTGAAAGAAGCCGGTGAAAAAAGCTTCAAAATACCACATGAAATAATTTGCGATAATTGCACGTCCACCCGTGTGTATGTGTGCAAGTAAATATTTATTTCTTTATCTATATGTATGTATGTATATCTTTCCTTGAGTCTGTTCAACTCGTTAGCTCATCATCATCATCATCATCAAAGCTATAACAGTAATGGAAGAACGTGATTTTTAGTAGACCCAGGCATTGACGTTCATGTTTTTAATTAATGTAGTAACACGCGCTTGCAGAATGGGATCTTGTATTTCATTCAACGAAGTATTATATTGGTCACAATGTTAGACATGATTGGAAACTATGTAACCTTGATTGAGTACTTATGCTGTACTACTCTCCAAATTGTAGAATCGCTACAAATTGACCAATCTGTGAAAAACGTCAGGTTTTCCACTAATTTTCCACTAGACGCTAAATCTTGCAGAAAATGAACTAGGCAGGCAATTCTGCTCGAATGCCTGGCCATCCTTGCTCGTGAAGATGTCATGCGATCTTTGTTGCTCCCATATAACATCAGATATCTTTGCTGACTTCAAGCTTATTAATTTATCAAATAGTTTATGATCAAGCAATATGCAACAGGTTTTCTCAGCGAAAATGACTGGCCGACAAATTAGGCACTATTTTTGTATTAAATCTGCTGTTCACCATCAGTTTACTTTATTTCATATTGTTTTCATGTCTATTCGTCACGTACTGTACATATTCTTAAATTGTAATCATATTATTTTTACATTTCATGTCCGTGCAATCTATCACGTACACTATTTTGGTCCTGGATAGTGATACTATAATTTGACGTGTCATCATTCTTAAAGATAATGCAAGTTGATAAGTTGATAAGATATGAACAAGTCGCCTAAATTCAGTATCGCGTTCACGTTTGAACGTAATGCCGCAATGTCGCATGCCAACATGCTGCCAACAATCCGGGAATCAGAGCATGAATCAGTTGTTATATTTACAGAAGTGGAAACCATGGACAGCTGTGTCATGATTTAAAGATGCAATGGTTTGTAAACATATTAGAAATAGATAATGGTGATTGTGTTCTAAAAGAAAAGTGATCATTATTTTTTTCCAGGCAAGCAGAAAATATATTTTGGAACTTAAAAAAAGTGTTGCAAAACAAAGACATCCAACAGCAGAATTAAAACCGATACAATCGGAAACAGAGAGAGTTCCGAAGATGTGTAAAACGTGTCTCAGGAAGATCGAGTGTGAGGTACTGGCATTGAACGCTTTGCCTTATTATATTTAGCTGATTGTTTATAAGATTTGCGAAATATTGTAATTGTATTACATTATTGCTGCATTTCTTGCGTTGCAATGATTGTCTTTTAACTTTTATTGTAAAACGTATGCATTGCATTTAGTCATTGGGAAGTAGACTATAGCAAGCGCAGCATAGTGATGATTTCTGTACGGGTAGAATTTGAAATAGAAATGTTTAACGTACTCAATGTATTGTATACCTTGCATCCTATACATATATATATATATATATATATAGATATATATATATATATAGATATATATATATATATATATATATATATATATATATATATATATATATATATATATATATATATATTATATGTATATATATACATATTTTTTATGTACATAGGATTATCTGTTATTTACTATAAACCCAAGTTATTAGTAAAAATGATTCATCGTTGCTAAACATGTTTCTGAATTTCATGTTGAAAAGACTTCTTACACTCTTGATTTATAATAACTTACTGTTACAGGATGGCGTGGACTGGGGTCTGAGGGGATCCTATACTTCGGCCATCCAAATATCCAGCCGTCTCTGGGCTTCCCACAACACCTCTCGCGACGCTGACACTAGCACGGAAGTTACCAATGAAATAATTCAGTGCAGTTCCGTAAACAAACCCTGCGAAAGCAAGTGCACCAACTTTGAAAAGACAATTTTTTTCACTCAAGCTGAAATATTAGGCGAGGCTCCTCTGTTACACATCCATGTTCCTTCTCACGCCTACTGCCAGGTAGGCGCTGACGAGGGTGACGCCTTTGGATCCAACAGCCACGGTGATCGCAGCAGCACAGCGCTCGTGAGTGCCGTCACTTCCACCAGAAACAAGATTCAAAGGGGAAGTGACTCCCACTCCACCGTGAATAAAAATGAGATAACCAAGTATGATATTGTGGCTGAACAACGTAACACCAACATTAATTATGGAAGGGAGATAGTGCAGGCCAGCCTTGCACCGGGAGCTACGGGAGTGGGTGTTGTAGGAAGCATAGAGCAGCAGAAGAACGGAAAGCTGGATAACTCTAAAGAATCCCTAAAACCTTTTTTTTACCTCCCTTCTGAAGATGACGATAGTAGCCACGATGAACAATTGTTGAACGATCCCGACCTTTATCCAGTTCCTAAAACCGATCCCGAAACCCCCCTTACTGTCTCTCCCTTGTCGCCCTCTTCTAAGAACAATAACCATCCCTCCACCCCACCTCGAAGCCCACAGAAGCAGCAACCCGACAAATCGATTGATGAGATTCAGGACAGAATTCGGCACTGTCTGCAGCGAGCTAGAAGCAGAAGTTCGTCTCTTTGTGGTTTAGGGAGCTTTGAGGCAGGACTGTATCGCTTGGAAGGCTTATTAGAGGGTAAAAAAGCACACCTTGGGAACATAAGCGACGGAAGTCACGAGCACTGGAACACAACTTGCGTTCGCCGGGGCATGACATAGCCTCCATGCCCAAGTACAGAGACACAGGCACCATCACAGGTCAGTGAAGCATATTAGTTATTTA